AGCTGTGCTTTAATTTAGTAATATAGGCTCCAACTTTGCAAAGACTTATGCTTAATTTTATACACTGTGAATAGTCCTATAACTAAATTCAGCCAAGCTGGAAGAAAGACAGGAGTCAAAGCATGTGGTTTAATTAGTCTGCAACTTCATTCATATAACATCTGTGTGTACCCAGAAATAAATTGCACAGCATAAAAAATAAAGATGACCCACAATCTCCAACCTGGTCCACAGCTCTCCTTCCTTTATATGAGGTAATGGGGGGAGGGCAATAAAAAGAGGGAAGCCGCAATGTCCTTTATTCAGCTGCTGAAGATATGTTGTCCTTAACATCTGTTTTCAATACATTTTATGCAATGGCTGTAACCCTTCTTGATGAAGTATCTGCATTGGACATATGCCACAAGTAGGCATCAGCAAATATGCTTAGCTACCTCTCCCTATCCACCAGATTCTCCGATATTCACTGATTTCTTTCTTAATATCAGACAAAATTAAATCTTCTTCCATAACAGATAGGCATGCCCCATCTTCCCTGCATAACTTGATTACCCAGGAAGATATACCCTAATGAGGAATTATCAAGCCCCTTGCTACATATGAATCTATCCACTTCCTTATCCACATACCTCTTGTTCCCATCAATGCAGGGAGGCTTCACAGCTCCTTTCCCCACCCTGGGATGCAACATATCAAAGCAAATAATCATTGTTCCAAAGAACAAGTCCTACATCTGCCCCATGCCCCACATAGCTTTGAGCACCAATTCAACTCCTTTGCTACTTTTCAAACTGTCTTTGCTGAGGCGAACGATGATGGTAACTGATGTCTATTCTTGAGCTGTCAGTGTATGAGGGCCATCAGCTGGCACTTGTATGCATGTCTCTACTTCAATGCAGTTCAGGATTACCTCACCCCCTAGGCCCAGCTGTGAGCTTCTAGATTGAAAAGACCCACCTGGGTGACCAATATTGTGTTTTGTGAAAGTGTGGACCAAAATATAAAAATCATCTGATTTTACTTAATTTCATCCCTATTTAAAGCTGCTGCCCATCTTTCCCCAAAAGCCTCACCATTTCAGCACTGGCTATAATGAACGAGGAAGGCAGCTAGAGATGGAAGAAAAGAGAGGTCACTGAAAGATATTCCGGCCCTGCTTTGTAATATTATGCACACAAGGAGCATTCTGTATTGAAATAAAAAATGCCCCTCTACTAATTGCAGAAGGGGAAGGAATTCTCCTGGCCTTTGTTTTTCCCCTCATTTATATTCAAAATCTCCCAGCAATACAGAAGTGACTTAGCTGCCTACATTTAGATACAAAAGACCTCTAGTATTACAAGGGTGTTTTTCTGAGCCTTTTTTGTTGTTGTTCCTAATACGTACAATTCTCCAGCTGTACAGGGGAGTTCTAGATAGGGCACTGATTTCAGCGTTTATCTCAATAATGGCTCAGCATCATAAGGCAGCCCTAGTGAGCTGCTGAAACAGAATCAGCCTCTGTAGAGTCCATCTCCTGGGCTGTTACCGAGCAGCCTCGAGGGAACTCTGCCAATGAAAGCACAGCTTCTACCATCCGTTCTACCAGTAAAGAACAATCTCAGGCAAATTCAGACAATTTATGAGGATTGAATTATTCTGCGACATTTACATGACTATATAAACATACAGAAGAGGAGGAGAAAAGGAGATTCCTTCTCCAATTTGGAGAAAAAACTTTCAATATCTGAATGCCTCCTAATTCTCATCTTAAATTTGACCCAACTTTTGAATGTTCTAAAACTGAAGCATAGCATCAGGGAGAGAGACCAAAGTTTGGACTATGCATTCTCAAGCAATAAAATAGCAAGCAGTCAGTCTCTTGCTGGCCATCACTAATCAAAAATATATTTTAATGAGCTCAAACTTAAAAAAATGTGCTCACCACACATGGGCTGGCAGTGTGAAAAGTATCCTGAAAGCTATCCCTACATTAAGATAAGTGTCCTGAAGCTCTGTATTATGAATGGATTAGAGAACTTGAAGCTGAAAGTGTTTTCTGTGTGGCAGAACATGATGAATGTTGTTCCATTTGACATATAGGTATGTATCTGTATGTATCATTGCAGAACGTTTGGATGTCCATGTGTCAGTTTCTGGTGAAGGAACATACAATTTTTCAAGTGAGTGTTTTGCTGCTTGCCTGGCAACTTACTAATATCCTACAAGACCCCCTCCCTCTCCCAGGTCTTTTTGTGATACTTCATAGCTCCAAACTTTTCATCTTCTTCCAATGAATACAAGTTTCTTTGTAGACAGGCTCAACTCATAAGTTTTCAGTCTTTCTTCAGCAGCAGTGATAGCATCTTCAAATCCCTCACCTCTGTAGGACACAAAGAAATCAAGGCAGCTTTTAATCAAAGTCATAATATTGCAATGTCCATCAACATTTGTTATGCTATGTTTGCCATGTTTATTTGGAACAGGATATCAAGACAAGCCACAACTGAGATCAGAAGTTTGAAGTCAGTGATCTGGTTGCCAAGCTTTGCAACTCATACCAGATTTCTGCCTCAGCTTTACTTGACTGCACGTTTCATCAGGGCGATGTAAAACACAATCCCTTGTATCTCGCTGACCCTATGTTATCATTGACACATGTGCAATTTAGTGGATTTGTGGCCAGATTTGTAACATTGTCTATAATCAGACTTCCAACATTTATTAAATGAATTCAATTTCTTCTGCTCTAGGACAACCACTAGTGTCTAAAGTCCAGTTGTTCTGTTTCAGATATAATCCCATCAAATTTGGCCCTTGCTGAAAACTAGATTGCACCTTCTCACGTCCTATATTGACCTCCTGAAGGCTTCTTCAGGGGAATCATTTATTTTCTATGGGGGAAAATAGTATGGGGGGAAATAACAAGAGCATTTATCTATTTTGTGCAGTCTTAGAAATTTACCAAGTATGTGTTAAGTATGGTAAATAAGTACTGTAACAGTATTTCCTATGTAGTGTTGCAGAAATAGAGATGCAATAGACATCTCTCTTGTGTCATTAAATATGTTCATTATTATTTGCTACTTACAAACTTCAAGTTTTTAAATAAAGTACGCCTTTATAATTCAACAATGTAACAAGGTTCACAATATCACAGCTAGGCTCTCACTTCTCTTTTGTTCTTCTATCTCACTGACAAACCTGTGATGCCCCAACCCTTTTTATATTCTTGAGAGCGTGGCTGACAACAGTCTAGGAGGTTCAAGGAAAATGTAGTTCTCAGAAAGTCTCGAAGGTCCACAACAATCCACATATAGAATACCTAAAACAAACATGTTAGTTTTGCCTTTGGCACCTCACAACAAAAACAGCACCCTGAACCCAGAACCCCAATCCTAGCCTCCCAGGAGGTCACCTGTCCCTAAATCTGGCCCTGACAACCCCTCACTTAATTGAATTGGAAATCTTTGTATCCTGCTCTTAGGGCACAGAAATATAGAGCATGTATTTCACAAAAGCACTGATGAGTGTGCCTTTTACTTACAAGATTTCTCACCCTTCTTTGTTGAAATAGTCTCCTTATAATATGACTTTTGTTTCACTAGAAAGGTCATATTTTACGCTTGAGTCACAATTGACATTAGGAGGTGTGATTTTACAGCGCATGCTTACAAAGTAGCACTTTTAAACGTGTTCATTGCCTTTTTATTTTTGTTACATTTAATTAAGGCTTTTGCTGACTGAAATTATTGGTCGGGGAATCATCTCTGACAATGCCTGAAAAGACTGTTTAGAATGATTGTTGTGCAGTGCTGTTAGCCACTACTATACTTCTGAATAAAGTACCATTATTATACAGTACATGGAAACTGGTTTAACGTTTCAATAATTACATGAAGTCCTTAGTCTGACATGGGAGACATTCAAATGCATACAATAGCTGCTTTTTTAAAGAAGTAGCAAAGGTATGAACATGAAGGATTGTTTCCCTCTTTCATATTTATATTCACACACACATACAAACAGACATTCTGTACTGTCACTGACTTGCTATTGGCATGGCACATTTATAATGATAAAGGACAATGTGATCTTTGTCTTAACCATTCCGGTCTGCAACATCTGTTTAAGTTTCCACTGTACAAGTAGCTGGGTTTTGTGGGTTTACTTTTTATAATATTTTTTCAGGGTCATGGTTTAACCTGACACACAAGTCTTCATGATGTCTGTCAGTTCTTTTGTAGTTTTATTGAGGGCTTTCCTACCCCAATTTTAAAATCAAATTCAACAATGTAAGATTACATATCTGCTGTACAGCTGAAGAGAATAATAATTAAAAAGACAGATTACCAGTGATGTAGCCATAGTGGTCTTATTACCTCACCCACCTTCTCTCTCAACTTACCAGGTATAAACTAACTTTTTTGGCATGAAAATTTATTTTGTTTTCTTGCACCTTTGGGAGAAGATCCTAATCTATTACATTGGTCTCATTTAATAGAATTTTTAGTGTAACTGATCAAATTTTGGCTTTTGTTTTTTCATACTCTTGTCTGCACTGCAAAGTTTAGTTGGCAAAGGCAGCTTTTGGCAATAAAGCAGTGTAGGTTTATGCACTTCTGGTGACAAAAGTCTTGAGTATTGTCCACAAAATAAAAACACCTAGGCAAGAGAGACAGGACTTTATTCATAAAGTTTTGTTGACAAAGGGTCAGTGTAGACACTGTCATTTGATTTGTCCACATCAGGCATGCTGACAGGCGGGACACAGGGCGCAATTGCCTCAGGGCCTGGTGATTCACTGGGGCCTGGCGTTCCCGGCTACTGCTGCTGGTACTATGGCAGCAGCGGCAATCAGGACCCAGGGCACATTAAATTGCCAACCAGGGGGGCCACATCACATGCTCTAGGAAGCACTAAGGGCTGTGGAGTTCCCGACATGGTGTGCTCTGGGCAGCACTCTGGCTGACTGCTCTCAGCCCCACCCTTTCTACCCAAGGAACCACCCTTCTGGGAGCACCGAGATAGGGCCCTGCACTTTGCACAAGGGCCCATGGAAGCTGTCAATCTCCCCGGTCAATGTAATTGGTGTCCCTTAATATGCCGCAGTACCTGTTGTGACCACTTTGCTCATTGTTTCAAACTCTACTTCCCTGCAGTCATGCACCCTTCCCCTTTCAAAGCTCCTGGAGGCTTTGACATTCCTGAGTCTGGAGGATTCAGAGATCTACTGAGGATGCCACTTCCTCTAGCTGAGGAGCCTGTGAGAGAACTTGGAGGGACTCACACAACCTTCAATGTAGAGTCGACAGGCAGGCAGAGTGAGCTGTTGCTATGTCTGATTTTGCCTGATAAGACTATTTGGTGAATTTTGATATGAATTCTCAAAATTTTTGGGAGACATGAATCTGTTTTTTGGGGGAGGTTTTTTGGCAAACAAAAATAAAAAGAAGCTTTGGCTGACAACTTTGGCCAACTCTTGTTCTAGGTACACAAACAACCAGACCAAAGAAGAATTTTTAGACAGTGATTGTCTGTTTCCATGACTTGCACAGATGGAGCAGGGAAGGAGCAACTCATCACTGTTAAGCTGCTATGCATTGTTGGAAGCAGAGCCAATGTAGGTCACTGGGGAAAATATGCCAGGTGGGGAAGGCAAAGAAGAGAAAAAAGCAACATTGTATAATCTAATCTAAAGCTGTAAGGGACAGAGAATTGTGTTATTGACAATCAAATGTTGCAGAGTAAATACAGAACTTATTTTCTTACAGTAAATACAAGTCTCTGGGAATAAGGGGGGGCGGGATTTGGAAGAACAAAAGTGATTTCCCCTCTGTGACCCTGTTGCAGGGCTGATACACCCTGTCACCCTTTGGGGTGAGGAAGATGGGCATTATGTCCCCTCAGATGAGCCTATAAGTCTGCCCCTGGCCTTGGGGCAGTGTGGCCAAGTGGCTGCAGTAAATAGTATGAACTTCATTAACAGAGTAAAGTGGCCTGTTAGCCAGAGCCAATGGCACAGCCCTCCCTAGTAAGGCAACATGGCCAAATGGCCAGAATCCACAGCACAGCCCTTCTATCAGGACACTGTGGCCAAATGACCAGAGTCAATACTTCAGCTCTTACTATCAAGGCAGTGTGGCCTAATAGCCAAAGTTAGTAGTACTGATGAGTTGGGCCATCACTCAAGCATTAGTGGTGCCCAAGATAGGGACCCAGGATAGGGACCCAGACCCTTCCTCTCTAGTGGGTTCCAAATTAGGGTCCTGTAGAATGTTCCCTCTATTTTTTCCATGCGTGTGTGGAAGAAATTTTATGGTGTGCACAAGGCATGTGCAGATGTGCACTAACAACAGAAACATGCTGCTGGCTGTGAGCGCTCTGCCAATCAGCTGGGCAGCACTCAAATCTCTCCTGGGTGGCCACCCAAGTGCTTAGTTTACAGAGAACACTGGTCTTGTCAGTTGTGGGGTTACCTTCTTGTAGCTCAGTGGAGCTCCTACCAAAATATGCTGAGCTGGCCTCCAGTTCCATGAGAGATACCCTTCAAATTTTCCCTGCAATCTCAAGAAGTGTGGTCCTTACCTGGAGCTCGCATTCAGGATGTGAACGAGAGTCTTCCAAAAGTGATTAAACCTTCGGATCGCTACCACTTCCTGCTTCTCCATGTAGGAACTAACAATACAGCCAAGAATGACCTTGAGCAGGTCACATCAGATTATGTAGCACTGGGAAGGAGGGTCAAGGAATTTGAAGTGCAAGTGGTGTTCTCGTCCATCCTTCCAGTTGAAGGAAAAGGTCCAAGTAGGGATCGTCGAATTGAGGAAGTAAATGTGTGGTTGCGCAGGTGGTGTCGCAGAGGGGACTTTGGTTTCTTCGACCATGGGACTCTGTTCCGGGCACAAGGATTGTTAGGAAGAGATGGGATCCATTTAACGAAGAGAGGAAAGAGCATCTTTGCGGGCAGGCTTGCAAACCTAGTAAGGAGGGCTTTAAACTAGGTTCGTTGGGGGACAGAGACCAAAGCCCTGAGGTAAGTGAGGAAGTTGGACACTGGGAATAATCACAAGGAGAAATGAGCAACAAAGGAGGCCCCCAATTCAGATGGAGAAGGCAGTGCAATCAACTGGTTATCTAAGGTGTTTGTACACCAACGCGAGAAGCCTGGGAAACAAACAGGAAGAATTAGAAGCTCTAGCCCAATCGAAGAACTATGATTTGATTGGAATAACTGAGACTTGGTGGAATGACTCGCATGACTGGAGCACTGTCATGGAAGGGCATAAACTGTTCAGGAAGAACAGGCGGGAGAGAAGAACAAGGAGTTGCATTGTATGTAAGGGTACGTCTACACTACAGCGCTAGTTCGAACTAACTTAG